CACCAAGTCAAGGGTTAAGATCCCCTTACCGGTCATCTTTTTAAAAATAAATAAATAAAAAAAAATAAAACTACAAACACATCTACTGAAAATTTTACAACTATCACAAACTTAAAGTTTTAAGGAGATATATTTAAAGAAAAAGCATGAATGTTTTCAATCCATAAATACAACAAGGAAATTGAGAAGGAACTGTTTTAGGAACAAGAATATATACTTTGTTGGTAAATTTCTCAGTACTAGGATTTGTTTTCTCTGTGCTAGGAAATTTTGTAATTAAAATTTCCCTTCCTTAAAATGAAAAAAAAAAAAAATTCCCCCAAACCACACTTAGTCTGTATTTTGCATAGCTTCTATTTTAAAGGAGAAATGAAAAGCTTTATATTTAGAAGCACATAATGTTTTTACTTGAGCCTGCCTACTTTATATCATAACAACCCAGACTAACAAAAATTACTGCTGGTAAAATAGTTCCCATTTTCCTATGATCTGATGTGAATCATCATTTTTTAATGACTCTGCAGCTTTCTCTGATATGACTACAGATGGTATTTTGGAAGATGGAGATCTATACCCCTTAAAGATCACAGCTTTCTAAATTTCTTTGTTAAATACTTCTTTAAAGAAAGAAAAAAAGAAAGAGCTTTCATGGCCTCTAAATCAGTATATACAAGCATGATAAACTTATATTTTCTTTTCACATTGCCGAATTATAAAATAAAATAAATTTCATTTTAAAAATGAAATCAGTGACTATAAAAAAGAAAAAGCTCAATGTATTTGAATTGACTTTGTAATAAGTGATATAGAGCTTTTAAAATTCTCAATATGGGCTGCTGCAGCTGCTGCAAGGAGCAGAGAAGCACCAAAAGAAGCAAATTGAGATGGAGACAAATCATCTCTACACTGACCATTTTGATAGAGGGAGATGGCTAGCTGGTACACGGATCCGAACCCTTGGCCTTGGTGTTATAACACCATGAAATTTCTGATATATTTCTAATCAAGGCAATAAATCCCAACAAATAGGGTCAAGATGGTGGAATAGACAGTCCCCAGCATCACTGTCTCCCACAAATCAACTAATTTACAACTATAGAAAAGCAACAACAGCCAAGCTGGGGCCACTAGAGCTCAGGGGAAGAGGAGGAGAGACCTACAGAGTGCATGAAGGTGGGAGAAACCACTGAGAGAAAGAAAAAACAGCTCCAACCATTTCGTGCTGGGGCCACTTTAAGGCAGGAGCTGCTGAGCGCATGGAGCAGGAGCCAGCAAAAGCCGCAGCTGTGTCCTTTGGATGAAGTTGCTTGGAGGTGGCAGGGGAGAAGAGGGCCTTGGTGGCCCCCAGGCCAGACAGACCACTAACAGGGTTCCTATGGACCCACATAGGAGTAAGGAGCCACAACAACTGAAAAAAAGGGAGCCACTCAGAGGCCAGTGAGACATCGCAAGGGACAGGCACATGACCTGTCCCATGGGAAATGTTTGCAGCATGGGTGGTAGGGGAGATGGGCCCACCCAGGGAACACTGAGGCACAGCAAGGACAGCTGATCCACCCCTCAGTCAGCATAGGACCATTCAGAGGAACCTGGTCAGGAATACAGAATTGCATGGGTTGCAGTTTGATGAAAAGACTCTGATCAGGCCCAGATTGGAGTTTCTGCACAACCCAGGTGCACAGGGTCTCTGGAGAGCCAGAAGTACCTATAATGTCAACCATTATAACCTGAGCTGCACAAAAAGCCTTCCCTAGGGAAGCAGCAGCAAAGTGGCAATTTAGCTCAACCACACAGCTCAAGTACTGGCTCCCACAGGAAGTTCCCCCATTTTAGAAGTAAGCAAACGACAAAAAATTAGTTCCAGCCCAGGCACAGTGCCAGCGCCTCAGGGACCAGACCTCCCCCCCACAACCAGGTGCACTACCAGTGCCTCAGGGCCTGCCTGGAGACCTGAAGCATGGATCTGGGGACCTGCCCCCCTCCGCCCACAACCAGGCACACTGCTAGTGCCTCAGGGCCTGCCCAGGGACTGTAGGTATGGAGCTGGGGACCTGACCCCCCTCCCACAACCAGGTACACTGCCCGTGCTTCAGGGCCCACCCAGGGACTGGAGGTATGGAGCTGGGGACCGGAACCCCCACAACCAGGCACAATGCCAGCACCAAGTAGCATGCCAAAAACATCACCTCCATGTGGGTGGCCCACCACAGCCACCACAATAACCATGGCTGCCACAACATGAGCTCTATGCCGCAACCACCAGGCAGATGGTCTGCCAGCTACTGGAGTGCATTGACACAAGGAGACTCACCAGCAGAGACCAAAGAAAAGAAGGGGATGTTTCTCTCCACAAAGCCCATTCCAGAGTGACAGAAGAAGTATCTGCTCTACAATAATACTGGGGGACCTGAACACACCTTTCAGTATTGGACAGATCATCTAGGCAACGATCAACAGAGTAACCATTGCTCTTTCAGAAGGAGAGAAGAAATCTAGGGTAATTAGTGCGAGGGATGGGGAGAGATTGGACAAGGGGCTTAAAGAATAAGTATTATTTGTAACAATACATATGCTAGTAATATTGATTTGATCAACATATCTCAACATCAAACCCCCAAAATATGTATAATCAATTATGATTCGATAAAATTTTTTTAAAAAAAATCTCAATGTGAATGAGTAAATCAAACCATCTTGTCACCTACGTTCAGGTAGGGGGAGAGTGTGGCCTCTTGGGACGTCAGAGGGCTATTACTTTAAGTACAACATCAATATTTGGTGTCTTTAGCCAAGCACTACAAGGAAAAATAAATATTTTCCCATGCTTCATGAAACTGGACCTGCGGAAGGAAATTAAAACAGAGACTGAAGTGCTCCTACATTTTGTGTGTGGGGTGTGTGTGTGTGTGTGTGTGTGTGTGTGAGTGTGTGTGTGTGTGTGTGTGTGTGTGTGTGTGTGTTGGGGCAGAGCCAGCACAGGGATCAAACCCAGGGCCATGGTGTTATCAGCACCACACACTAACCAACTGAGCTAACTGGCCAGCCCTATTTCCTATCTTCCTTTCACACCATTTTTTCCCCAAAGATTCTTTTGATCTAACCAGACAATGTTGAGATATTTTCTTAATAATTTACACTATTCTCCCAATTCTTTTTCTGAAGAATGTAAAAACTTGGTCATTATGCTTTACTTTCTTCATGGCTTTTTGGGGGGGAGTGGGGAAGTCAAGCTTGCTAGGACACTGTGACAAAGATTCTTTGCTTGGCCAAGCTTCCGTCACTCTTCTGAAGCTTCTCCTAGGCCCATCTGTGCACTTCCTTATAAAATCCAGTTTTAGCAAGAACCCTGCTATGTCAGTTTAGCAAGACCTCCCCACCCTCAATATCTGATCACCCTGGGTATGTCATCGGGTTCCTCATCCTCCTCCATCCCCCAGGGGATATCTGATCACCCGGGCCTGTCTTCAGCAAGAGTCCTGTTAGGTCAGTTTAGGCAGAATCCCCCTTACCCCTGAGGTTTCCTCTTAGTAATCTTCCATCCACTGATCCCTACCCTGCTCCTTGCTTATAAATTCCCACTTGGCCCTGCCGTATTCAGAGTTGAGCCCAGTCTCTCTGCCCCACTGCAAGACTCCGTTGCAATGGTCCCTGTACCTATTGCAATGGTCCTGAATAAAGTCTTCCTTACCATGCTTTAACAAGTGACATTGACTTTTTTTTTTTTTCCTTTGACAATGGAGAAACATGAAAAGGATACTGGGGACGACAGCTGCGCAGGAAACGGCAGAGATGGCCATCCGTATGTGGCACGTCGTGAGGCTGTTCCACTGAGGACACGATTTGTAAGAGATGACAGACTGCAAGAGCGTGTACACGACACCACAGACAAAAGCCAACAGGGCACCCCCGTCGTGGACCACTGGCACAGCTAGCTCCTGGAGAGAAAATCACAAATGTGCCATTACTCTGTATTCTGTACTCGGGACGAGCATACAGTCTGGGCTGCTCCAAGCCATTGGTCACCGCAGATGCACCACTCCTTGGAAAATGTAGATGCTTACAGAAGACCACCAAGAGAATAGGCTCCCAGATGCTGAAGTGAATGTCAGGAACATGGCTGTTCCACAGCAAAGCTGGGCACATGGGACAAGGACAGGATGCCATCTACCTTAAAGTTGGGAGAGTTGAGTATGGTATGCAAACTTTGCAAAAGGGCAAGTTAAAGTGTTGGCCGGGAGAGCGTGGATGGGCCACAGGCCCCCACTGGCCCCAGCTCACCATGCACACCCACTTCCTCCAGCTTTTCTTTTACCTGGGCCACCTAGGCTTCCCCAGCACCACAGTGTTTTCCATCTGGACTGTTCAACCGCAAGCTGGAGTGCAAATAAACTGATACTGAATCTTCATTCTCCACATAGGAAAGGGAGATTTAAAAAAAATAAAAAGCTTTTAACTTATTTTCCAAGAAAGTTTATTTCCTGCTATCAAACTCAGGAGTATGGGTAGAAAATCCATTACTTGACTTGTGTTATATTCAAATATGACTGCATTAACATCCTGCAACGTCCTATCAATTACTCATTTATTAGGTATAGGTTCTGTATACCTAGGATACCGAGCACAGGCATATAGATTCAGGGAACTTATATGTGAAAAATAAAATACATTTTAAAATACATGTGTGTATACCTTTAAGTACTTAAAGAATTCAGGAAAATAACCACTGAACTGTACACTTAAAAATGGTTAAGACAGGGCTGGCCAGTTAGCTCAGTTGGTTAGAGCACAGACTTAAAGCACCAAGGTCATGGCCCTGTACTGGCCAGCTGCCAAAAAAGGGAAAAAAAGAATCAAGATTCATTAGGCTCTTGTTTTAAAAAAAAAAAAAATGGCTAAAATGGTAAATTGTATGTTATGTGTATTTTACCACAATTAAAAATAACGAAAAAGAAAAAAACAAAAAAACCTGCGTGGTTAGGTCAGTTGGTTAGAGCACAATGTTATAACACCAAGGTCAAAGGTTCAGATCCCCATACAAGCCAGATGCCAAAAATAAAAATAAATACATATTTTTTAATTAAAAAGAATTTAAAAAAAAAATTTCTTTCACCTCTTGAATGTTAGGCACATTTGGACGAGAAAAAATAAAAGTCAAGGCATCAACTGCTAATGAGTCACTTTCAGAAACAATAAGAATTCTGGTACTTTCCACTCTCTATTTTCTTTTCATGCTAAGTAAATCAACATCCTGAATTTACATACCCAGTTTCCTCCTACTAATGCTATGAGGGAATTTGCTTCCTTGGCCCTGGCCATTTCGACATATCCTTTAGGATCTTAATCTGCAAACTTCATGGGCCCCCACATTAACCCTGACATTATCAGATCAAAAGGCCCTTGATTAAGTGGAAGTCATATTTGTAATGTGTGTTTTTCACTAGGGAGTTTATATATATTCTCTCATCAAAGGTATCTTTTAGAAGGGGAGTTATTCTTTGACTAGACATGAATTTTGGATAGAGAATAAGATAAAAACCTGGCACCTTTTTCAGGCCAGTTTGTAAAAACTCTCCTGTTGATTTAAGAGTAAAAAATAGAGAACACTAGAATACTAAGAGTATTAAGCCTTGGAAGTTTTCTTTTCCAAAAAGAAAATTTTATTTTATTTTTAATTGACAGATAAAAATTGTATATATTTATGAGATCTTGTATATGTTTTGATATATGTTTACACTGTGGAATGATTAAATCGAGCTAATTAACATATCTATCACCTCACATATTTGTCATTTTTTCGTGGTGAGAACATTTAAAATCTGTTTTAGCAATTTTGAAAAATGCAACACATTATTAACTATAGTCACCACGCTGTACAATAGATCTCCAGAATTTATGCATCCTAAATGCAACTTTTACCCTTTGGCCAACATCTCCCCCTTCCCCATCCTCGCCCTTGCCCCCGCCCCCCATCCCTAGCCTCCAGTAACCACCACTTTAATCTCTACTTCTACGACTTTGACTTTTAAAAATTCCACATTTAAGTGAGATCACACAGCATTTGTCCTTCCGTGCCCAACTTATTTCATTTAGCGTAATGTCCTCCAGGTTCATCCACATTGTCTCAAGAATTTCAAAAAGGAAACTTCTTGAGGGAAAATAAAGCACTGACAGAAATTAGTGAGGAAAAGAAAAAAGAGTTTCCTGGTCAAGATAAAAAAAGAAAGAAAGAAAGAAAGAAATTGTAAGGACACACCAAAAGGTAGCCATCAGCCCACTTGTTCAGGAAAGAGTTGTCTGTGAACTTCTCATAAAGGTAATTTTCACTATTGAAGAAAAACCAGCAGGGGCAGTCACGCCGTCTCTGGCCCTCACATCTGAGCCGCATCCCTAGCCTCCAGTAACCACCACTTTAATCTCTACTTCTACGACTTTGACTTTTAAAAATTCCACATGTAAGTGAGATCACACAGCATTTGTCCTTCCGTGCCCAACTTATTTCATTTAGCATAATGTCCTCCAGGTTCATCCACATTGTCTCAAGAATTTCAAAAAGGAAACTTCTTGAGGGAAAATAAAGCACTGACAGAAATTAGTGAGGAAAAGAAAAAAGAGTTTCCTGGTCAAGATAAAAAAAGAAAGAAAGAAAGAAAGAAATTGTAAAGACACACCAAAAGGTAGCCATCAGCCCACTTGTTCAGGGAAGAGTTGTCTGTGAACTTCTCATAAAGGTGATTATCACTATTGAAGAAAAACCAGCAGGGGCAGTCACGCCGTCTCTGGCCCTCACATCTGAGCCGGTTTGCTCACTGTGCGCTGAAAATGAGCTCCAGGTTCTCAAACAGGACAGTTGTCAACATGTATTTACGGGAACAATGACAAGACAGTTTGCTCCCAGGGAAGTTAAAGATTCTATTTCTGATTTTTATAAAGATTTAATCAGTTCGTGGAAGCCTTAGAAAGAACCAAAAGTTCAATAATCTAACCATTTAAGTTTTCTTTCTAAAGTCTGCCCTTGATTGGTTAAAATACTGGCATCTGTATCTCTCACAATGCTGAGTTATTCAGAGGATAAAACAGCATGAGAGAGGGGACGCTGCACGCCACCAAACACTTCCTGCCCACACCGCACTAGACGAATTGTAACAGTCTAGGTCTCCTCTTTAAGTCTTTTTTAAATTTTTCATCATGCTCTCTGACGGCAGAACTGTGAACTGTATACTTGCTTTTTTTCTCAAAATATTTCCCCATTTTGGCATCAGATAACACTTTTCCACAAGCACTAGACAGATTGCCTCAATCTGAAGCCCGCCTCTGCCATGCGGTCACTCGTGATCTTAGGCGACTATTAACCTCTCTGGGCCTCCACTTCACCCCTGATAAGTGGGGAAAAAAATAGAACAAATCTTACAAGGTTTTTATTAGAATTATATGAGTTGAAGCAGGGAATATTTTCATAAACATGTCGTCACATAGGAGAATGTCAATAAACATTTGCTAAGAAAAACAGAATGAATACTATCATAAAACATAAGGAAATGTTGTCAAAAGCCCCAACCATACGACACATGTCACATGCCAGCATGCCTTGCAGCACTCTGTGTTTGTCTTATTTCTTCACATAGGGACAATAAGGATAGAAAAGTAAATGGAGCCAGAAGGAAATTTAGTTCACAAAGCCCTCCAG